GGGGGGGGACCAACTTGGTAAGTTGTTGCCTGGGGACTTGCCTAGTTGTCACGAGGTGCCACATGTCGCAATTTCACTGGAGGGCCAAATCTGCCCTCATCAGGTACCTTTTGAGCATCTCCTTCGAGGTGAATGTGATGAGTGGCACCCAAATCGCGAGCCAAGAGTAAACCAGCTCGATCTGGAGTTGATAGCTTCTGTAAGATCCGAGTCTGTGCACTTAGTACTAATAGCCCGAGCAAAGAGGAAACCACCAGTATGATTAATTCTAATAATCACAATGCCAAGACCCGAAGCTGAACTAGCTTGAGAATTGTTCAAAGGGATTGGACCCTCTGGTTGGTTGGTCAAGAATTTGACATTGTAAAAGTCGTCGTGCTAAGGCACAAGAGTGAGCGTCCAACAGATTCTGTCTTGGTGCTGGAGAGGATTCAAGGGGAGCTCGATCAATTAATATTGAGAATCTGCTGAGCAACTTCATTATCGAAATTTTGGATAATGAAAAACTTAATTGTTCCATTGAGCCTATTCGAATTTAGAATTGGAGACCTCTAAATTTGACCTTGGAATAGGTTGAGAGAGCCAAGGGTCTTATCCCATCATCCATTTGAAATTTGAAATAATGAGTCGGGCTCCCTTGATTAGCTCCTTTCGTATGTCCAAGATACAATTCCAAACGGAGGAGTTTGTAGATTTTTTAGAAACACTCCAAAAAGAAGTAGAAGAATCTTCATTTCCTTGCTTTTAACAAGACATTTCCAACTCTTGAGATACACATGTAGCTTTGTCCTTGAGAGAAGCCCCACCAGAAATCCTGGGCTGTGAAGTTTAACTTCATGCAAGTAGCTAGCAAGAGGGAGCTTATTGATAGCCATGAAATACGATGGGATGGAGGAAATTGTAGATATAAACCATTATCTCACGACCAGAATGAGAATGGCAATTTGCCTTCCAGGTTTGCAGTTTATTTCCACCCTTCTCAACTACAAAATTTCAAGCAGCAGCAGTCTTTCCTCCATTTAAAAGCAAAGGGGCACCCAAATAATTTTCTTTCCCATTCATAGATTCCAAGTGTATTGGCGATCAAACTTCTTCTTCGATGGACATTTGAGCTGAATAGGATGGATGATTTGCTAAAATTTAAGTTTTGACCCGAATGGCTTCCAAAATGAAGGAGGATGTTTTTGAATCGGATGGCTTCTTCTTTATTACTTCTTCCAAAAATAAGAATATCATCTGCAAACATTAAGGTCATGTTTGGTTCAGGCCTCATTCTTTTAATTCTTGTTCATTTTGGGCAAGAATGAATAACATTAGTGTTTGGTTACAAAATTTTTGTCATGTCATGTGCTACATTCTTTTAGAATGAAAAATCAACTCATAGGTAGACCTGTTCATGGGCCAGGCCGGATCAGGCTTTTACTCATCATAAACAGGATTTTCGTAGGCCCGTGCCCAAGCCCAGTCCGACCAACACGCCTACAACTTGAGCCCGATCCCGGCCCTAATAAAAAGACCACAGCACGGGCCCGAGCCTAAAGCCCGACTTGTTGCCGACCTAACAGAAAGATGGTCACTGGTGCTGAGTTCGTGTGACTATGTTTGCCGGTGCTGAATTTGTGTTGATAAAGCATAGGGAGGAAGAACCCCTGTTTTCTGAGAAACCCAAAGAATAAAAGAAAATTGAATGAGCGACCATGAGGGATGGGGGAAGAGAGAGAGAGAACTCCTGTTTAACTGGATTGGATGAAACTTGCTATCCCATCAGGGTTCTCCACTAACAACGATCTTGGCAGCAGCATCTTGTTTGACAGAGTGAGGGAAGAGCGAATGAACCTTGGTATGCATCACTATTTTCTACCGACGGGCCACCCGGCCCATGAATAGGTCTACTCATAGCACAAGAATTGAAGTAACCTGCAGTATGAAAAATAATCATATCCCATCTTACTCATTTTCATTCATTGAGGAAACCCAGCCTATAAAGCTGCTACCATTAGGAAATTACCGTAGTACTTTTATGAAAGGACTTTTACACGAAAACACTTTAATAAAAACCCTTTTATGAAAACATTTTTGTAAAATCACTTTTACGGAAATAATTTTATAAAATCACTTTTGTAAAAACACTTTTATAAAATCACTTTTACAATTGTATTTTTATAGAGGACACTTATAAATTTTAAAAAAATCATTTTTAAGGAAAAATGCATTAGGTTAATAGAATATTTTCTCATTTTATCCATTTTTACCCATTCTTATCCATTTTAGAATTTTATATTAAGTAAAAACAAAAAAAAAGAATTGAATCAAACATGATTTAACTGATTTAATTTTGGACAATTCCTTGAAAGTTTAAAGCCATTTATTTGTCTTGAATCAAGACATTATTGTAGACTCTGGAGAGTAGATCAATATACAAATGAACAGCTAAGGTGAAAGCGGGCAGCACAGCAGGCATGGGGGAACTCTTAAATCACTAGTTTTAAGTTGTAGCACCCGTAAGGCTACAAGGCATGGTTAATTAGTATAGGAAGGTTGGGTATTAACTGTTAATTAAGTCAAAGGATCATTTATGTAAGTTGTCTTAATTTTCTATAAAAAAAAAGTTGTCTTAATTTGCAAACCCATCTTGTACAAATTCAACTTTAAATTAATGCACTTCTGTGTATTCACTCACGAGCCTCCTTAGCAACTGACCACACTGTCATCCCCTATTAGCTGCTCCTAGGCATCTAGAGAGAGGGAGAGACGGCTGGATCTGCTCAAATCGTTAGATTGGAGTTTTTTTTTTTGAGATGAGACAGGAACAACACAGCCAGGTAATAGAGCCCAACTGAGCCCTGAAACGGACAGTTGGGGACTGGGGCTTGCTGGGCCTCTCAAACGGCTGATCCAATTTGCATCGATAATGTGTAAATTTGAAATTTCAACCCAATAATTGCACTCCCTGAGAACCTTCTGCTCGAAAAATTTGGTACGGTTCTCTTCTCCCTACCTCCTACCCTCTACTCTCCAGCTCCTCTCTTGATGCATCCTCCACCTCCACTTTCCTGTCATGCCGCCCTATGCTTTCTTTTCTCTGACCCTATTCCATATTATAACTCAGCCTATAATTTACTACTACCTACCTAGCTTATCTGGACGAGTCTCTTTCTCTCTCTCTCCGTCTCTCTCAACCCCACATGCTGCTTTTTTATGACTCATCAGTGACCTCTCTCTCTCTCTCTCTCTCTCTCTCTCTCACTCTCTCTCTAGTTTACGTTGTTTCAACTCTCACCTCTCGCTCTATAAATAACACCCACCAAGTGGGTGTTGTCATGTAGCATGCCGACTTCTCTTAATTAGGGTTTCTTTGTTTTAGGATTTATTTGTTTTCTTTAGCTTTTAAGACTTCTCTTATATATATTTCTTTACTTGCACGCTTTATCCTTTGAGAGTGCTCATCCCCGTTTCTTCTCATATCCTTTGTCTATTTTATTCTGCTACTCCATCTTTGTGGTCGTGATGAAACACCTTATCTTCTCCTTTACATTTTTTTTTTTTTTTATACATACGTTGGTGAGGTGCACCCACTTTTGCACTCTTCATCTTCACCCTATTTTAATTTCTTCATCTTTTTTAACTGGTTACACAACCATTCTCTTCACTGTTATAGCCTTTCCATTTCTTCTAGGGCATAGAGCTTCCATGGTTAGTTCTTTCATGTTGTCTTCTCTCTGTATCGAAGTTACATCAGGTTTTTTACAACTTTTTTTGAAAGGTTCTACATCCAAAGTATAAAAAGAAAAACTTCTTTGAAGATTTAGGAATAAAAATCTTAAAAAAAATGTTTTTCCATTCGTCCTTCCTGTTATCCATCTTCTCCTTGCTAAGGGAGGTAGACCAGGGTTTAACTAAGAAAATCATCTTAACTCGAAAAGGGGGTTTCTCAGTTTCTCTCTTTTTTTCCCCCACACAATATGGGTGATGCTTTCTTGATATATCAATGGTTTTTCCCATTTTCTCTATGCTATTTGAAATGTTGGTGGATGAGAAGTTGCACCCACCCATTTTTCTCTCTCATCTATCTCATGAGAGACCCAAGGAGGAGAAATTGACTTCAGTGTTGTGCAGAGCCCCATAAGGGAATAAGTGAAGCTGCCAGCATGATCTAGCGTTGGATGGATACCCAAGTAATATATTTTAAGATGCACCCTAGCTAGGTCATGCTCTGACAGCCTCACTCCTTCCCTCTTTGGGGCGCAAATAGATTCTGAAATCTGAACCCTTGAGCTTCAGCTACCAAGAGATGGAGACTACCTCTGTAAGTATATTCCTGTCCTTAATGTTCTTCATGTGCCAACATTCACAAACCCTTTACTGTTATTTTTATATTTCTCCTTTAACAAGTACCATTCTTGCCATTGCATCTGCATGCCAGCTTCTGCAAGGAATCCTGGCTACTTGTGTTTTCTTATTAACTAATTTCCTTTTTATTTTATCCTTCGTTTGTTTTGTTTATGGCTTTATGCTCTTGAGGGTGATCCGGAGAGTGGTTGCTCATTAATGTTTAGCATGCTTGTACGAAGGGATGCAACAAGAACAAGCCGAAGTTGGTGTCTTAAGCGTCATTCCACAGCTTGTTTCTTCAGCTCCCTCAGATTTTTTGTTTGCATGTAATCTAAGCTAACCCTATGTCATGTGCCCTTTGTATAAGGTTTGCATAAACAAAGTGGTGTTTCGTTTGCACTATTGCCTCTATGAATTGCTGAAGAATGAAGATGGTCCACTTGATGTGATGAACACATGTGGCAGTTGTGAAATAATCAATCAAAACTTGCATTGCTGAACAAAATACAATTTGAATCAAGGACCACCTACCTGGACTTGTGAGCCCCCTCCCTTCTGAAAGCTTTTGAATTTACAGGAGATAATGTGCATGGAGTGATCCCAATTCCAGCATCCCGAGAAGCAAATGTCTATTTTTAAATGGTTGGTACATACAAGTGTCTCTCAGAAATTTCTATCTTGGCTGGCAGTTTCCAAGATTTTGTTATCGAATTGTCAGATGAGAGATTCCAGCAGTAAAAATGATGATAAGACGAGAGTGATCGCACTGGGTAAACCTTCTCCCTTGTGCAGAACTTGGAACTGAAACTTTACTTCAGTCTTCTATCGTGACTTTCATTATTGTTGTTTTCCACGTCTTGTTGCACTTCAGAAGGGTGGCATCACGTTAACTACTAATGGTTCTCTCTTTGTAAACACTTGAAAAAATTTAACCCCAACCCAACAGATTAATTGATTTTCTCAACCTCAATTGTCTTGTTTTAACCTCTCTAATGTAATTGGTTTTCAGGAAGTATCTCTCTCTCTAGATCTCTCTATCACAAGACTGGTACAGTAAGTAAATCAATTAACAGACTAGCTAGCTAAAGTATTTTATCACCAACTAGATACTCAGAACAAGTAGAACATTCATTCGATTAATTTATAAATTTGCTTTATCTAATAAATCAAGGCTAAGTTGGTGCATTAAATAGAATTTGTAAACTAAATCATCTGCTATACTGGAGGTTTCAATTAATTAAAAAGCTGAGAAAGTATTATCATTTGGACGAGCTACATGTGACGTGATCCAACTTGGAACAGATCTGCTATCCTAGCTAGTAGCTTTTTATATACATAGACTAGTCCACTCTCAGTAAAGAAAAACTCTTTCTCAGTCATGCTATGTTCAGTAAGTCTAAACCCCGATAAAGAAGTCCGTTGCCCAAAGCTGGTCCCCTCTTGTGAGAGTTGAGAGGTGGATGACTGAATATCTAAATCCCAACAATCTCTACTTAATTGCGCGATACTCGATACAAGACCCGGCCCAGGATGAAATAACTGACTCTGAGATGATCGTGGTGATTGTATCTGCCAAACAAGTATTCTAAGCTCATGGTTGGTTCTTTCAAATAAACGTAGGATTAATTAGTTTCCTTCCATACAGGAATTTTCTCTCGTTCAAACTCTCATGATTTTAGCAATTATCTCATTGTGATGAGTCTGAGTTCATGGCATCCTGTCCACTCTTCTAATCTTTTCTTGCGTGCGTATTCGTGCAATGTTATTTTCAAGAAAAGACATGTTAACCGCTTCTATTCTCTCCTTGATGATCTCGTAAGTCTGTTGAGCTCACTTATATATATAATTACATCTTATACATGGGGGGAGAGAGAGAGAGAGGAGAGAGAAGAAGCACTTTTGTCGTTGTTATATCACTCTAAAGCAACCTATATTGTCGTCATTGCTAACTCAAAAAGCAACCTCTATCACGGGTGCCAAAGAGAGAGAGAAAGAGAGAGATTTGGCCATTTGGGATTCCTTAAGTATTTTGTCACCGTCAATTTTGTCGCCGTTAAATTAAAGGATGTCGGAGTGCTCTCTCCTTTTTCCAGACATTGGCCGTGGCAATGACGTGAAGCCCCTTGCTAAGTTGATACGAGATTCATGTATTTTGTAGCCTAAAGGTCAGTCTCTCTTGCGTCTTTCTTCAGTTGTGGTCGGGCCATGCCTGCACTGCCGCTGCTCGTCTCTCTCTAGCTGGCTGTCACCGATCGAGAGCCGGTCGATGCAACAAGTAACTGAGTAAGCAATCGTTTCCTTTAATTATCACTCATTGGTGGTTCAAAAAGTTAAAAAGTTGCTCAGTACTTTGAGTTTGAGCACACTCATTCTCTGATGATCATGTGACACTGTTGCAGCAGAGAGTGAAAAGAAATCTTCAGTAATAAAAGAGGATCCCAGAAAGAGCTCTTGTTCATCATTTGGGCGACCAAGCATCAAGCTCACATGATAAATTTATACAAAGTATTTGATCAACCGGTCAAAGTTTCATTGGAATACAATATTTTTTTGGAACATAATTTACTATTCCTCTTCTTTCCTTTCTACGTGGAAATCTTTTAAAAACCCTTGTGTACAACAAGCATATTGTTGCTTGCGGGAGGGCAAACCAAAAGACCCAAATCCATCACTACAGAAACAAGAAGTGATGTTACTAAAGATGGTATCGAGGGTAGTTTGGGAATTGCGAAGGTGATTTGCTTGAGGGTCTCATTTATATTTTATAAGCACGTACGAAAAGATGTTAGAAGTCTCTCTGTGTAGTTTGTGTATGATTCTAGGGGGAGAGATTCTGACGGTTAAGTTAAGCGAGGTGGTGGAGTAAGAGTATTGAAGAATATAAGCACGAAAACAAGAAGTGAAGTCGAAAATGGATCGACACTAATGCGGGTCATCACAACATATGGAATAGGGTTCAACAAAGAATTCCAGGCACAACTCAACTGATATCTGATATTAGCAAAGGAATCGAGTCATTGACTGCTAATGCGTAAGCTATATATTATTATATTTTGCTTGAACTCTGCAATAAAATCTAATCGAACCCAATTAACCTAACTTCTTCTCTGTGGCAGCTGTCAATAGCGTCAAAGCATTATGTGGGTCTAGTAAATTTGCCTTGATCGATCAGTATTAATGCGACACCATAAACGTTGTCTCAACATTTTCAGTAGAAACTTATTAAGTAAAGGAAATGCTGACCGCTGACGATGATGTGTCTTGTCAAGTGCTCTGCTCTGGTTTGTATCATTGTATGTTTATAAGCTATGCTGCAGTTGAGTGGTGACAACTTGTTAAGGTTTTATGGTGGTGTACCTTTCGGTGCACCATATATGAGTATGATGGACAACGACACTGCTGTCTCCTGAACCATCAAAAATACCGACCATTAATTGATAATCCCCCCCCCAAAAAAAAAAAAAAAAACAATTACCCAATGCAAACGTAGCGTTTGGTCCATCTTACCACACCATCATCTATGTTTGGATCGAATCGTATATATGACGAGAGAGAGAGAGAGATATCTGACATCATTAAACTTCGACGCTCATAGAACAGGTTGAACTTATAGTTGATGTGGTGGGTTTCTCTCGATACTGAGCTATATCAAAGTTTTTGAGTTGGGTTTACAACCAACTCACTATTTCCTTGTGCCACACGAATAAGATCCCGGGAGGTCTCCCCCATGCATGTTGTGAGTGAAGAACTCGAGCCAAGAAAATAGGAGATTGCCTGATGAAATGAAAGTTTTGTTACAACTGAAATTTAAAATACAAAATTCAACAGCAATATAAAGAGATAACATTAATTAGAGTTTTATAATCAGTGTAAAAATATAAAAATACACTACTGAACCGTGAAAGTGACCGTTGTGCTTTTTGAAAAATGTGATGGGTGGAAAAGTGTAAAATTTTACTTGGATAATCAGTGTAAAAACTTTACATTTAATATTGATGTAATATTTATGGGGAACCCACGTTTTGATGGGTCTCTCCAATGAGATATTATTGTCGAATTGATGACCCTTTTCAAGATTAATTTCCAAGGAAATAATCATCGAATAGCATCAATTACTTTTAAGAAATTAGTTAAATATTATTTTGTTTATGTGCAATTCTTCAATTTTAATTTGCAATAGAATATTTTCTTTTTTAAACTATTTCACAAATCAAGTTTAAGTGTCCAACACATCCATTTCTAATCAGTAGTTGGCAAATTGGTAGATTCTAATCAGAGTCAAATGGAACCAACCTTGAACTGGGTAGGGTATGGTTCCAAATTCTTGGAAGTGAACCCCACCTAGGCTGGTTCTAGGGTCAAGGGGTTTACCTTACCCAAATCAACCATGGTTGGGCTCGGTGGAAGTGGCCTTGGAATTAAATTTACTTTGAAATAAGTCCCAAAATATTTTGACCATCTAAATATTTGGACCTAGGCACTCATGTTACAAAGACAATGGTCTCATTGACCATTGAGTAGCTTAAGTGATTTGATCATTTTTATTCAATTTAATGTTTGAATGTGTATAATAAGTAATGAAAAAGATAATATTTACAAAATTTAAATCATAATGATTAAATTACGAAATCTAATCAAATTAGCCGATAAAGGAAATATAAATTTTAACTATATTATTATTATTATTATTATTATTGAAAATCAATTTTTTCAAAAACAGGTTCCATTTTTGGGGAAGAGGGTAAAGAAAGAATAAGTTCCATGGATAGACTCTGCAACCAACCCTAAAACCACCAAGACTATAACTAACCTTAGACCGATCTTAATAGGATATGTTCTAGTTCTAAAAACTTGGAACCAACCCTTGTAGAGTAAGTTCCATGTACTGCCTTGAAAGTTGAAACTGAATAGAATTGACCCATGCTCACCTATATACCTAACAACAACCCAACTTGAACAATTTACATAGCATCCTGGCTGGGGCCATTCAAATTTTGGTAAGTGCTTAATTAACTTGAACCCACCCAAGTTGCAACCCAAAGTAATCACAAAATGCATAACTTGTACATATGTTTTTCTTTTTAGCCATTACCTTAGATAGAAAGCAGAAAATCCATTCCATTTTGAAAATAAAAAGAAATTGTAGCCTCATTAGCGAGGGAGGGGATTATTTTTAACCCAAGCTTTATTCCAGGTGGATGTTGCCACTTAAATTTTATTAATTAACCCATATAAAAAATTAGAATCATAGAAGAGCCAGATTGGGGGTATTTATGGAACAGGTGTCCTAAAATTTACTACATACTTACAGTGTGTTCGAGATCATGTATCCGCCCTACAAGGGGCCACCCCACAGCACATTCTCGCCATGTATTGGAAACATTTTCCAATGATAACATCATTGAAACTGGTATTATCATCGGGAGATGTTCCTAATACACAGCGGGAATATGCTGTGGGGCGTTGTAAGGTGGAGATGTAAACTCAGTGAATTCACCAAATGTGCCTACTCGATCCGGAATCATA